GGTGGTAGTGAAGATGGTGACAGTGCTCATACCGGTGGAGCTGATGATGAGGCACATGATGACGGTGATGATGATGGTGGTAACGTTGACGATGAAGATGATGGCCTCGGTGATGGTTGTGCTGCTGATGATTGAGATTGTGAAACCGGTGTTGGTGATGATGGTGATGATGGGAGTGTGGTTGGCGCTGAAGATGACGGTGATGGTGATGACGATGGTGATGATGGCGACAACGATGAGAACGGTTGTTATGAGGATGGCGATGACGTTGACGGTGGTGGTGATGACCATGGTGGCAGTGGTGATGCTGAGGACGACCACGATGGTGTTGTTGCTGATGTAGGTGAAGCTGGGGATGATGACGCTGAAGTTGATGACGGATGGCTAGGGGGACGATGATGATTTTGAGGATGAGGACGATGATGAGTCGTAGGAGGCTGATCTTGATGGAGATGATGATTGACCAGGTATCAGGATGAGGATGGGGATGTCGATGGTGATGAGGGTGAGCACGGGTATGTTGAGGATGGGGATGCAAATGAGGATGCGGATGATGACGCTGATGCTGATGCTCATGCTGCTGCTGATGATGATGATGCTGATGCTGTTGATGACGGATTGGACATTGATGGCGATGAGGACGAGGATTGCCATGATGATGTTGTTGATGATGATATTTGATGGTGATGTGGGATGGGGGTGAGGATAATGCTGACACGGATGGGGATGCTGATGATGACGAGGAATGTGGTGATGATGACAATGATGAGGACGATGATGATGTTGATGATGATGACCATGATGACGACGATGATGATGTCGATGCTGCTGATGGCGATGCTGATGATGATGCTCATTGTGATGATGACGATGACGGTGGTGGTGGTGGCGATGGGTACGGTGATGGCGGCGGCGATGGAGATTGTGATTGTGATGTTGATGATGGTGGCGATGATGATGGCGCTTCTCCTTGTGCTTGTGCGAGTGTTGGTGACGATGGGGATGGGGACGGTGATGATGATGATTGGATGATGATGATACGGATGACGAAGATGAGGACGTGATGATGTTGCGATTGCTGCTGCTGATGCTGATGCTGATGCTGATGATGCTGATGACGATGACGATGACGATGACGATGATGATGATGCTGATGCTGATGCTGATGCTGATGATGATGACGATGACGATGACGATGACGGTGATGATGATACTGATGATGATGATGATGATGATGATAATAATAGTGATGATGAGGAGTGGGGACGGGGATTGTTTTTGCGGATGGGAATGTGGATGCGGATGATATTTCGGATGTTGTTTGGGATGATGGTGGCAGGGGTATGAAGAATGCTGCGGATGAGGTTGATAATGATGATATTGATTACGATGATGATGATGATGATGATGATGATGATGATGATGATGATGATGATGATGAGGATGAGGATGAGGATGAGGATGATGATGATGATGATGATGATGATGATGATGATGATACTAATGATGCTGATGATGATGATGTCCGATGGGGATGTCGATGCTTCTGACGATGCTGATGGTGGTCATGGTGGTGGTGGTGATGGTGGTGGTGGTGGTAGTGGTGGTGATGGTGACTGTGATGGTGCTGGTAACCGTGCTGGTGCTGGTGCTGGTGCGAATGCCGGTGATTGATGAGGATGAAGATGCGGATGAAGGTGATGGTGCGGATGATGAGGAAGAGGTCACATCTGATTAGGAGGTGGAGGGTAATGATATTGTTGTTGATGGCGATGGTGATGTTGATAATGATGAGTGAGGGTGAGGGTTAGACTGAGGTTGAGTAGGAGGATGTGGAGGATACAATTGATGCGAATGAGGATGATGATGGCACGCGTAATGACAGGGATGAGGGTGAGGCTGAGGATGTTGATGACGACGACGATTCTGATTTTGATGCTGATGCTGATGCTGATGATGATGCCGATATGGTGATGATGCTGGTACTGATGGTTGTGGTGGTGATGGTGGTGGTGGTGGTGATGGTGATGATGGTGGTGGCGATGTTACCACTGGTGGTGGTGCTTGTGCTGGTGCTGGTGATGATGAAGATGGTGATGCTGACGATGATGGCTGCGGTGGTGGTGATGATCCCCTAAACCGTGCTTGCACTTGGGTCGTGTCCTGAGGAATTGGGCCTGGTTGACGGTTCCGCCGCCTGGTGGTGGCCCTGTCGCCGCCTATCGCCGCTTGTTGTTGCCCCTTGTTTGGGCTTGGTTGTCGGTCCCGCTGCCGTGTGATGGCCCCGTCGCCGCCCGTCGCCGCTCGTTGCCGCCCGTCGCCGTTGGGAATTGCTTGGCACTGCATTGCTTCGCATTGCTTGGCATTGCTTTGCATGGCGTTGCATCGCTTTCCATTCCTTTGCATCGCTGCGCATTCCCTTCCATTGCGTTTGCATCGCATTGGTTTGCCTTGCAGTTCGTTGCAGTGCATTGCATGTACGACATCACTGTTTGGGATCTGGGGAACAGGATCATGCTGGCGATCATGTTGTTGTTGTCTTGTGACGCCGATTCTGCTCTTAATAATGAGTATGCTCATGACTGGTGACGAAGAGTAGGTGGAGGAGGAGGAGGCCGATTAACGCCAGGATGATGATGCTGCTGATGATGCTGATGATGAGGATGAGAATGATACTGCTGATGATGCTACAGACGATGATGCTGATGACAATGATGATGACGGAGAACCTGATGATGCTGATGATGCTGCAGCTGATGATGGATATGCTGATTCGGATGATGAGGATGATGTTGTGGATGGTGATGCCGCTGATGGTGTTGCTGCTGATGATGATGGTTATGATGATCATGCTGCTGCCGCTCATGAATCTGATGACGATAATGCTGATGCTGATGCTGATTACGATGCTGATGCTGCTGATGCTGATGATGCTGGTAGTGATGCCGATGACGATGAAGAAGACTTCGACGCTGCCGATGATTCTGATGATGACGATGATGATGCT